TGTACATTAAGTTCAGCTCCAATTAAAACTGCAAAATGTGAAAAAACAATTAATAATTTACTCAAGTCAAAATTCATGGTGAGTAATATTAAATGATTGATTTATACCACATAAACAAAACACTCCATTAATATTCAAATAAGAAAACAAACCAGAGTCATTGAATGAATACAATTTCCACACCGAAATGGTAATTCTTAAAAGGAATATGAAACCCTCGACTTTTTCATTATTTAATAATAATTCTACTAGAAAAGACATTATGAAGATGAAGTAGATATTTGCCACATCCATAAAGTACAAAAAGGCTATTTCGATCAATAGTCCAAATGAAAGTCCTAGGATAAGTGCTAATACCTAAAAATGTAAAAACACAAATTCAGCTATGTATAATTATAAATGGCAACACATATTACGTAATTTTAAAATAAATAATACTCTAATAATAGTATAAAATCCGAAAGTAAGAATTCCGAAAGTCACATAAACTTCGAATAAATGGGTTCGCACCTCTTGCTTAGAGCCTTGACTTGGTACAAACGGATTTTCTTGATTTTTCTTCATTCTTACAAGTAAATTTTTGAAAAAAGCCTTGTGTATTTATTATGTATATTGTAGATTTTATTAAGTACTGTAATCCAATTTTAGTCTATACGTCTATATAGTACCATATATACATATAAAAATACTGATAACTGGAAATACTGATAACTGGAAATAAAAACTTGTTTTAATTCTTACCGTGTATATATGCTATGCTATTAATATCATCAATATATTTAATTATACGACATATACAGTATACTGTTTAAAGGAGCGAGTTTAAAATATGTAATATATTTAATTCAGAAAAATTTCCGTTTTTATTGTAAGCTTGTTAAAAACAAGTTTTTGATTACTAATAATGATAATAACAGAATATCTATGTTGCAAATCATATAACGTGCATACTTTAAAAGTACATCAACCTCAATTATATTTTATTAAGAATGGTCTGCATATTCATTTTCGTCGCGTCATATACCGGTGGGTTTTATAATCAGGATTTTGAGAGTTCAATATACCCATGTTTTAAAGTGTACAAAGAAATTCTATAAATATGTTGTAAGTAGAAACGGAATTTAAGTAGATTCGGAATTTCCTAAGTAAAGTAAGGTTAGGGTATAGGTTTATATGATAATTATGACCAAAATTATAGTTTTACGTATTTTTTAAGTTATTGTATTTATGAATTTATATTTTTTTTAAGTTAACATGATCAACTCCAGAAATGTGTCTAAAGACAAAAGCTCTTCTAACGTTGAGAAATTTATCACTAATTCTGGTCAAGGTCTATTTTGTTTCTCACCTGTTGCGTCAAACCCTGACACGAGATTGTCTTTTTCTGTCCATAAATCAACTTTCAATGGTTCCAAGATGTTTGGTTGTACTTGGGGTGCGTTACCTTCTAGGTGGTTGTTTGTCTCAAATTTTCCTACAAATGTTAACCTTTGGCACATGAGATCAATTTTCGAAGTAATCTTTTAATTTGTATTTATGTGATTATGAAGCATGCACTTTAAAGAATAATTAATTTATCCGAATGCTAATCATAATTTTTGTTATTAAAAGTATTCAACTACATTAATTATCAGCTCGTTTTAAATTGCATGTATCTAAATAACGCTCCTGGGCATTAATGTGTAAAATGTGTTGCTGCACCACCTCCAATTTTAGTTTACGCGTTTTTTATAACAGATTTATGGTGACGTCCGAGAAATTCTTACTGGAATCCGTTATGCTTATGTGATATACTATGATCTTCGTGACGCTGTCAACGCATATCAGTTTCTCCGTCATCAAGGCGCGCCTCATAATCAGCATAGATTGAAAATCCAGTTTTCTTCTAAACCATGCGCTGTGCAGGTATGTCTCTATTAATAATGTTGCATTAATAATAACATTAATATCTTTAAAAGTGGTAATATCAATTTAATAATAATGATAATTACATAATTCTGATTAAAATTATTATATATTATCATTAAACTTATTAATTTTATGAATATTAAAATTTTTATAAAATTATTCCATATGTAAAAATATATGTATAGGAATTGTCAAAAATACAAGCTAATGAGTGTGATTGGGCGAACGAAGGTGTCATCATGGTTTCTTGGATAAGTGCACAATCAATTCAATCTACAATCTTGGTAAAAAAAATCCTATATACAGTCAGACCTCGATATAATCACCAGGTTGGGAAACAAATATTTGGTGATTATAAAAAAGTGTGACTATATTAAGGTCAAATTTTATATGTTTATTAATGTCTAGGATTAAGAAATAGTGTGACTATAACAAGGTTGTGACTATATCAAGAGTGACTATAACGAGGTCTGACTGTATTTATGTTCATTTTAGGCACTTTGTTGCTGATTATTAATTTCATTTATTATTAGAATCGTTTCGACGAAGTGGATACGATTAGATTTGCTAGATCCCTTTCAGTCGGACAAACTCTGGTCCTTCTAATCGAATATTATGATACTCGTGCTGCTCGAGCCGCCAAAGAATCAATAAACGGCATAATTATTGAGGTATCTTATATTTGGTGATTTATTCAATTATTTTAATCCTATCGTTTATAATTCAGTATTTATAAATGGGAAATCAATAGGAAACAAACGAATTGTTTCTAAATAACTTTTTTTTTATTTTAATTCTATAACTGTGTCGAATTAAAAAAAAAGTTACTTAGAAACAATTTTCATTTTCTATTGTCCTCATCCTCATATGTTTATAATTCGTTCATTTAGCTATATTTATAATTCATTATTGATTTATTTTTATAATTCGTTAGTTTATTTACAATTATAATTTCCTATAAAAAATAGGGGGTTCAAATCCTCGTTCAATATTACGATATTGGATCACATTCATGGGATGCGGTTGCTGAAGATTTCAAACATCATCAAAAAATTGGTTTAGCCATTCCTCCACTCCCGCGCATGTTCCTGGTTGTCCCTTCACCGGGCCTAGAAAATAGGTCTGAAGATATGGCAAAGGTTTCTTCATCCTCGCTTGAAAATAGTACCGTGATCTCGTCTGGTAACAGAGCTATCCCCAAGAAAAATACTTTAGATATTGAAAGAATTAGAAATGGTATTTTTAATTTTATTGTCTCTAAAGGATAGGGTGAACTTTGAGCAAACTTCGTTTTTTGATATACCTGCACCTATTTTTTGATACATATAACGTACCCTAACCAATAGGCAACCAATAGGCAACCAATAGGTTGCATGTTATTATAGTAAAAAGTTAGAAATTTTAGGTTATATGAATGAAAACTTTATCAAAAATTAAACTATTTAATTTTATATACTATATTTTTATGAAATTGCTGTTTATACCCCCTATTTTCGCTATTTATACCCCTACCCTGCAAAAAAATATTTTAACCAATTATTATATTGGTAACTAAAAAATATAATAGTTATGATTCAAAAACTTATACCGTTAATAGGGGTACAAACAGCAATGCCCTATTTTTATAATAATTATATGTGCAGGATATGGCAATATATAATTTGACCAATCAGAATTGGCAGGAAATTTTGTTTATATGCGAATTGATTTTTTTTTAAAAGCTATATATATCCGCCGTATCTTTACTATGAAAAAAACTGTTTTAAACTATGTATATAAATTTATTAGGATCACCTTTCTACTTATTATTAATTTTAACACTTCATAATAGGCCTTGATAATCGTACCACAATCATGATCAGGAACATTCCAAACAAGTATACTCAGGTATATGATCATTCTATTATCAATGGATATTTTGCGTTGTTTTTACATTACTTGCGTAAAATTTAGCGAATGCTGTTGGATTGGCTTGACGAAACCCATTTTGGTCAATACGATTTCGTCTACTTGCGTATCGATTTTAAAAACAAGTGCAATGTCGGATACGCTTTTATTAACTTTGTAGATGTCAGGTAAACTTCTTTATATGTGCATTATTATTTTATTCCCTTTTCCTAATACTAATATTTTATATATTGTCTCAAAGTGTCGTACTTTCTTTTGTTAAAGCACGCGTTGGGAGAAAATGGTATATGCATCTCCTTTATTGTCATGCTGATGACCAA